GACTTGCGGACAAACGGACAGGCGGACATACGGACAAGGGGAGTTACGGACAAACGGACTCACGGACACTCGCACAAACATGGCTAACTGTAACTGTAATGGCAATCGCCATGCCAATGTCAAAATCGTGTAGGTCCCCGCTCAGAACATGACAACTGACAAAAGCAACAAGCATCTGACAGACAGGCGACAGGGAGTGAGATGGGGATACTGGGGGAAAGGGAGATGTAGAGGTAGAGAGGGACAGGAACAGAACAAACAAACATCAGAATCAGCATCTGCATCAGCAGGCAACAACAACATTTCAATTAACAAAAGACCAAGGGGGAAGGGGAGACGGTGGTTTGGAGGGATGGGATGGCTTGGCTAACGTCGTCTTCTAATCGCCGCCTGTCAAAATAAAGTTGTGTGGTACATCACAGGGGAACCTCCTTAAGCCCGAAGACAGGCGCACACTGTCCAATGTGGGATTATAGAGTAAATAAAAGAGTCTTAAATCTAATAAACGTTTATAAATTGGGAGGATATACTCTTAGTTAAAATGTCTAATTGAAATTGTCATGAAATCAATGACGGTCTGAGTTCCTAACCGCAACATAAATATGATATTTAAATAAGCTTCGACTTATGAAGAAATGTTTGTTAATTTAGTTTACAGGATTTTATAAATAAAAGTGGTTAAAAAGTATGCATAACATCTAAGGTAATTCTACCACCTTTTCTCTCAGTGCAGTGTCAAGACTCCTGCGTCTCCCAGCTGCATTCATGTGTATCTGCTAAAATGCGCAATTAAGTCATCAAATGTTTGGCCTGAGTGTCCAAGCGACTTGACACAGCCACAAGACCAAGAAAGACCGACTCGGATACCAAGTTCGCATTAGACTAATGCATTTGGGTGCAACCAGGAAGCCACAACACAGATCCAGTCCGGTCCGGCATTCTGGACTCGTTCTGCCCGCCGAGAGGGAAACTGGGCAAATGCTAACGAAATGCCCCCCCAACGGCCAACTTTTACTGCTTCTGGCCAACCGACCGAGCGACTCGACTGCTAATGAAGCCTGAATGGCCGAGACCGAGACCGAGACCGCGAACAGGATCTTGTTAGAGAGTCTGGGCGGAGAACGTCCACAGATCCGTTAGAAGCTGGCTCCAATTTATCAAGTGCCATTTGCAAGGGCCAAATACACGGTTAAAAGCCCAGCGGCGTCTCATTAACGCTTTCCAGTCGCGTAGGCGTCGCGACATATGGGGATTCGTTGAAACGACCGCGGATTGATGCTGACGATTGTGTTCGAGTTGACCCAACTCACGTCCTATCTTGGTGCACAGAGAAAAAACTAAATAATTGGGAGATAAGAGATACAATTTCCAGCTACCATGTGAAAAACAATCATGTCTTAGGAATTTTTTGAAGATATTATCATCTTTTCAACTTGATATAGGTGAGTTAATTAAACAAGCAGTTCTAAATGGTCTTATAATATTTTTCCCTGTGTAAAAGCAGTCGTAGGTGGATGTACTGCGGCCAACAACACGTGTTTTTTTCAGCCAAATTGCTATCTGGGATCGGCTGCGTCGAAATGCATCTGTCCGCCAGTTGGCTTTCTCCGCAAAGTGCCTTGCAGATGGGGGCCGAAATTAATTTGCGGAAATCTCGACTCGAGTGGCTAAAATATTTCAAGAAAATCACGATTATCAACTTGAATTCCAGCGATCTTCGGCGGCCAGACACTTTCACAAGTGACATTTGTGTGCCAGCTTGTGCTACTTGGCTTGATTTGCATTTGATTCCCATTTCGGCCGACACCGTCTGATTGATGGCAATTTCTAAAGTTTATATTTTTAGCGTTCTCATTGTAAATCAATGCGGTGTGTGGGCGTCTTGGGATCTTGAGACTGAGACTGTCTCGGCAATGCCATTTGGTAATTGTCCAGCTCCACAAGTTGCCACAATTTGGCAACGATTTGTAAAAGGCATGACGGCACAAAATCGCTTCCCACTTGTATTTGGCCAACAAAGCGATGGCCATTAAATTAATTACACGGGGCTGCGCACTTCTCCGATTTCAATTAAACGTAAATTACGAAAATTAAACGCAACAAAGAGGCAAACTGGTTATCGGAATGGCCCAAACCAAATCCTGATCGTGGCCAGAACACTTAGCTTGGTTAACACGACCTCTGGGCCTGCGCCCCTGACTTATGGCCACTAAATTGCCTCCACCCATATATGAAGTTCTTCAGATGTATATATAACCGCACGGGGCACCGGAGGAGGAGAAAAGATAATCATAATCCGCCGGGGAGAAGAGGAAATATAATGAGCTTCGAAAGGAACGCCCTTCAATTTAGAGAGCCCTTCCCCTTTCCCCTGCGGCCATTTGGCTAATTTTATTTGCGGTTTTCGATTTTATTTCATAAACACATTTTCTGCCTGGCAAAACAATCCTCACCCCTCTCTTATGTCTCGCCACATTTTTGATTATAAATTGAATTTCCCCCCACTCGAGGCGAAATCAATCAACTCTTCTGTCTTCTTCCCCATTCACTTGTAAATCTTGTGTCTTGTTAATGCGTTTTATGGATTCACGATTAGGTGTTGAATCAATAAAACGCGGGTTCTGACTTTTGGGACAAAGACTTGGACTTGGGCCCATTAAGTTGGCTTATACAACACATCTCGGCTCGGGGATTGTGTCACACTCTGTGGAGGGGGTTGAACTTTCCGACAGTCTACAGAGAACAAGTGGAGGTTTTTGACTGGTTCCGTTCGCTGACAGCCAAAGAAATTGCCCATACGCCCCATGAAAACCGAAAATTAATTAGAAAATATGTATGTTGAAAAAAGCCGAGAGAGCAGAAAAATCAGCTTCACTTCAGTGGAGCGCAGAGCATTAAAGGGGCGTTACTTGATATGTCCGCGAATCAGTTAAAGTCAGATTAAGGCCCAGTAACCTCGAAAGAGGGGGAAGAGGGGCAATCCCCCCTTTGTCGGCCTTTTGCCATTTCAATTAAAATGCCATATATCAGCCTTTCGCTCCATCTCCATCGCCATCGGAGCCCCAACTACTGCGCACATCGAATGCAATTAAACTCAAATGCGTAGCTCATTTTTAAATCAAAGCAAATCGTAAACCGATAAGCCCGAAGAGTGGACCACCCGAGAGTTTGAGTCTGGTCCGGCGGACTAGCCTCTTGCTTTTTGCCAACTTCAATTAGCCCGGCTGGAAAAGGAGGGCCGCCGCTGCCTCGTCTGCAGACCTTATTTATTTACTTTATTGTTCAGGCTCTCAGCGAGCGGATTCCTATGCAAAGTGTTCTGCCTACCCAGGCGCTTAATTACGCTTTAAGTAGCCGCCAGTCAATATTGATTTTGGTTTATTTAAACTCGGAAACTGGGAATTTAATAGCCCCAACTGATTGCTAATGGGTCGTGAGGATGTGGATGTGGATCTGAATGTGGATGTTTATGTTAATGCAAATGTTAATGCAAGGACTACAGGCCATCTCATATTACCAAGTTCTCTGGCCGGGAATTTATGACACACTCCATTCAAACCAACCATATTTTATGGCCGCGCCCAAAACAAAATCTAATTAACAGTTTGCGTCGATTTATGAACAGAAGTCCATGCAAATTAAGTATGCGAAGGGAATGAAAGGCGGACAAAAGTTGGCAAAAGATGCCAAAGATCTTCGAGATACCGAATACCTTTCTTATCGATGAAGGGCACTCAGTCAGGCGGCAAAAGGAGAACTCAATTTATGAAGTCGACGCATGGAATTTATGAGATGCAGCAGGATCTCCTCGGGCTGGAGGCAAACACAAAGTGACAGGCGGGTAAGAAACCTCTGGAGGATGGAGCCCAGGTTCTGCCAACTTCATTTAACTGCTGCTGTTGCCACTTAGCTGCATGCAATTCATTGGCCCGGCTAACAAAAGCCGACCAGAAGGGCCAAGACAGGAAAAGCACGTGCTGGCCACAAAGTTGATAAATAACTTTTCGGTGTCAGTTTTGCAAATAGTCGGGCATTAATAACACCTTCTTAGCGACTCGCAAAAGAGTCGCCTCCAGCTGACTGAGCCTCTTATGGCGGATTATTTCCACCATTATTCGACGGCGACCTGCAAGATTTTTACTTTCAGCACAATTGAAACTGATACGCGTAGCCAACGAATGCCGTTGATCAGGTGAAAATGATAAAATGCCGACTATTTATAGTCCGCCAAGAAGGTATGATAAATAGCTATGGGTTTATAAAGAAGTTGTACCAACAATAATTTATTATAACACTTGGATATTACATACTCAGAGTTTAACTCATAACTTTGAAAGTTTTTCAAAATATATAAAAATCTAATTATTTCTGAGAATTTACTCCTTTACAATCTTAAATGAAGCCATTAAACCAAGGCCCTAAAACAACATTTATTGTTTATTACTTTTACTCTTTTGAACAATTGCAATTGTAGTTATTTGGCCTTCATATTTCTCTTTCAATTATTGTGAATTGGTAGAAAGTTGCAGACCCACATTTTTAACGGCAGCGAAAAGTTATTAAATTACCCAATAGATATATTTTTAGGCCCACGTAAGACGGATATCTATAAAGCTGCCAGTTTGGTAACCCATTTTAATGTGATCTGCTTTTGCCCCATAACTTCTGGATGGCCAATTTAATTTTAGGAGCCATAAAATATGATTTCAGTGATTAGAAACAACCCAACCCAATCGCTGCTCAATTCGGGGCCACGAAGAACAAGGCTCAAACATATAAAGCTATTAAGGAGTCATTAAATCGGGGCCATAAACTCCCGACTGCCTCCCCCCACCAACGCGGGGTTTTATAGTCACTTAAAGCCGAAAAATGCAAAGCTCATCAAATGGATTTCAAATTAGTTGGCCACATTCCCGACTGCCGACTGCCCGATCTCGGCCAGTTATCGCCGAGAGTTATGGCCATTAGAGATAGAAGCCGTCGGTTGGAAGAAGACTTACATTTTGGCTGCTGTCGCTGCTGGCGGCGGCGGCGGCCTCTTTGAGTGGCCATCAAACCTGGCCAATTGTTCTTCAATATCGCTGAGCTGTATATCATCGGCAATGGCCGGGTTAAAGTAGCAGTTTCTGCTCCTGCTGCCGCTGTCCACTTCGATGAGCTGCTCCGTATCCTTGGGATTCAGCCAGACGGCGTTTCTGTTGCGGCACAGGTTCAGATTCCTCAGATCGCCAAAGGGCAGAGGCTTGGATCTGCTGGCCTGTCCCTGGATCCTGGCCAGCTGGGCGGGCGTGAGGCTGCCTGTGAGCATGGCCACCTCCACATCGTCGTCGGTCTCCCCGTTGCAGGAGATCCCCGACGAGTGGAACTGCTCCTCGCTGCTCAGCTTTCTCTGCTCGCAACCGGAGGATTGGGCCACTGCCATGGCCAAAGTGGGAGCTGGGCAATCATTGGGCAGTTCCAGGGCTATTTCATAGGGTGCCAGGGTGATCTTGGCCTTTGGCTTGGTTTTCGTGCGCACTGCTGACTTGATGATGCACTTGGCCGGGGGATTTGCGCCCCGATTTTTGGAGCAACTGGACTTGCCACTCGGCTTCTTGGGCGTCAAATTGGTCACTGTCGAGAGACGAGATTGCTGCTCCGGTTTGATCTGTGGCATTTTAGGTGGCTGCACCTGATCCTCCAGTCGCTGCTCCCTTATAGCTCTCTCCGCCGAAACAGCCCTTCGACGACTCCTTCGTATACTGGGCATATTCCGGGGGAAGAGCTTGCCCACCTCCGCCTGCGAACTCTTGGACAAACTGTCGCAGCTGCGGTGGCGAGCTTCGGTGGGACTGCCACTGCTCTCGGTGGTGGAACTATCGCTTATGGTCGTAACCGTGTTGGCCAACACCGAGGAGCACTCGCTGAGGTTGATGATATCCCGGTAGTTCCGCGACTGATCCTGCTTGACCTGCACCACCTGCGGCAGGCGGATCTTCCACCAGCACTTCTTCTTCTTGGCGAGCATTGCGCTTCAATCACGGGTCGCAATCGCGAGGCAATCAATCAATTGACACATTAACAGGACGGGGAACACCTCTGGGGCAGTTTGCTATGCGGTCTGCAATTACCGTCGCCAGCAATTAACGGGCAATCCGCTTGCTCCAATTACGTGCACTCGCGATGGATCGATTGTAATGGATTGGATGGGTTCGGTTCGGTTCGCTTTGAATTCTATTAAGATCTCGTTTTGGTTTCACGGAAGAGCAGCTCTCGCACCGCTCGCTTCGGGGCTGCTCAAACAACTGAAGATCGCTTAGAAAGTTGGTGTTGGCCAAAAGGCGGGTATTGGCCAGGTTGGTGCAGGTCAAACTCACCTCTCAGCCGGCTACTCAGGCCAACTCACCACACCTCTCTCTCTCTCTCTCTCTGTCGATCTCACTCTCTTTTGGCCAAAACAAGTGCAGGTAAAACAGGTGCCACTTCAACTGAGTCGAGTGCTTTTCGCCTGAGTGCTTCTGGTTCGAGCCAGAATCTCCGGACGCGTTTATTAGCCAGCTATTCAAGTGGTAGCTGCAACTGGTTGATGCAGCTGTCTTCGGGCCATTTGACACATTTCAGGCCGCTTAGCGATTGACCCATTTCAATCACGGCAACAAGGGAGGACGATTGCGAGAGGCCAGAGTGCGGCCTTTGGGCGTTTCGTTGCCACATTAGCGAAGCACTCATAGGTGGTCATTAGGCTGCGGGCCAAGTGAAAATGTGAAAATGTGGTAATCAGGTAAACCCCTCAATGAAATCCATCCGGGTGCTCGGGGCACTTAGTTGGCCAATGGAAATGAAGACAGGCAGGCAGATAGAACGTGGACAAGGGAATAAACCAATCAATGGAAATTGGGGTTTGTGGTTATCCCTATTACTGCATGGGATTCTCAGTTGGTGGGAATGAGTCTAAAGTGCTTGCAGCTAATTTCACACATTATTCAATTAACACGCAGCTACTGGTTGATTGCAATTGAGGGATAATGGTTGCTAACAACAAGTTACCATTTTAATACCTGTTACTAAGAATTTGTAATGGTATAATAGAGCACACAATCTATTTAGTTACACATTTAAGACTAAACTTTATTTTCTTAAGCCATAAAATATCGTATTTTAGCTTATTATCTTAAATTAAAAACTTTTGGCTAATTCTGAACTCTTTCCGACAATTTATATCAATTGTCATCCGAAATTGTACATCTAAAGTTTTTAACTTACTTTTAAAACTCTCCCAGTTGAGTTGCCATTGCGAAGCTCGCGTTTAAACAAATTGTTTTACCAACTGTAATGAAAGACGAAAGTAAATAAATTAATTTTCTCATTTAATGTTAAATATTTGCACTCTTTTTCTGGCACTCAAAAGAGTGATGGGCGAAATTGCCCAACTAATTGAGAGCAGGGCAGAGAACAGTCAACATGGAGCGGCAGAAAGCAAACGAAATAAGCAAAGTGACTGCCAAAAGTATTTTAATTGCCCGGAGTTTCCCGAAAAAGAGGGGGCGTCAAAACTTTATTTGACAGTTGGAACAACTGAACAATTCATGAAACAATTTTGATTAAAACTGAGACACACAGTCTCCGACTGTGGAAATGTCAGCAAAAGCAGTTGGCAGATGCCAGCAGGTGAAAATGTGTGCACTGAAAAAACAACAGAGAACTGTAGTCGATTTCAAAAGGACCTCGGTACCAAATTACTTATGGGATTTAATAACATTAATAAATAGCAAAAAGCTTAAATAAATTTATTGGAAATAGATTTATAAAAGCCCAATCTTGAAAAGATAGAGATTGCGACCATGATAACTATAATATACTGACGTTCAATTTAGCCTAAAACATATTCCCTGTAACACTGTATTTATAAGAACCCAATAATTGCTATAATATTTTTTTACTGTACTCCCTAGTCCTCCATGGCCAACAGGTAAAAGTCAGCGTCATCGCAGGAGCACAAAAATAACAAACGCCAAAGTGACGCTAGTAAAACAACGACGATAATATCCTGCAGAGGTCGTAAAAGTTGAGATTTGAACGTGCAACGTACACGTGTAAGTCAAAAGTTGCCCCTGGGAAGAGGAGGTGGAGGGGGCGTGGCCGTTTGGCGCAGCTGCCGCAACTACGCGACGCAAGATGGCGCTGCAGAGCACTAAAAAGTATTAAAACAATTTACACTTTGTAAAAAAGCAACATCGGGGGCAATAACATCAACTGTTGTGCGGCTTGTAGCACGTGTCGTGGGGCATGAAGTGTAAGAGGGTTGCTCCGTAGTTTTTTTAATATTATTTCAACAACATGGTGCCCTGTCATAATCATAACTGTATCTCAGCGGGAAAGACAAAAACGGGAGCGAAAAATAAGGAAATAAAATAAAATCAAGGCTGCTGCCGTTGACAATCGCGTTATCATAATTCTTTTCTGCTAAATTCAAATAGCATTTTCGCCTATTTGCATAAACAATGTGAAAGTCGTAAAGTGAAAAATTGTAAAATATATATAAAATACACAAGTGAGTGGGGAAAGGGAAAGAGAAAGGGAGAGGAAGAGGCGAAAGCACTTGAAAGGGGCGGATGGGCATAGAACGCGGAAAAAGTAAAGCTGCAATTGCTCGCTGAGCAGTGAAGGCACAGTGGATCGTTTTGGATATACAGGGGATAAATTCAATATGGATTTTTGAATTGGCCCACAAAACCATATTTAATGAACAGACAAAAAGGCAATTTATTTTTCTATTTTTACATTTTTGTAGTTATTTTGTAAGAACATCGATTTCTGAAAAAAATATGTTCATAATAAAGTTTATAACATTTATAACATGCCTATGTTTTTCCTCTTCTACTAAATTCACTTTAAAAAAAAAATGTTATACGTTTTACTTAAAAGTAATTTTACGCTAACACAAATTAAATGCAAAAAATATGAAAATGAAATTTGTTTAAAAATAAAACATAAAACATAGGAAATCTTTGCATAAATTTTAAAAGGTTTTTTTATTTATTGAATAATTTCCTTTTTTAACTACAACCACAGTGAGTACTCATGCAATTCTCTGTTTACATCCGCCCTGGCATAAAAACCAGCAACAGGGAGTCTTTCTTTTTTGAAAAGCGAGATGCGTAGCCCCAATCCGCTTGCCAATCTCGGCGGCAGTGCCTCCACCGACTCCTCCTCCTCCTGCGCTGACTTCCTCTTAAGACAATAAGCACTGGGCCAGGATGCTGGATGGAAAAACGGGGAGAAAGCAGCAGGAGTCGCCACAATCCACACACTCGCATGGCAGGAGAGTGTAGGCGGCAAATGTTTCCCTAATGATGACGTCGCTTATGAATTGTTGTCGCTGCCGGGGAAATGTGGCAAAAAATCTCAAGTGTTGGCTCCGTAATATTTATGAAAAATATATTTTCCTGCACGGGGAGGGTGACAAAGAAACAAAAAACAGCGGGACTTCTGGGAGGAGCAATGATTACGTTGATTTGCCAAATGGCGCTGATGACAGTCGGCAGCTGAAGAGGCTCCGCAAAACCAGCGACTACGTGAGTCTACTGATTTTTAATTAAAAACGCAAAAATTAGGGCGGTCGGGGGAAAGCCAACCCAAACAGCGGGTGAGAGTGGAAAAAAAGTAGAAAGGCGGAGCTCAAAGGCAGAAACAACAAGAAAAAACTCAAAGTGCGCGTCACAAGGTTTCCTTTTGTTAATCGACTTGATTGTAAATATTTTCTTGCATAAACCCTGTACCTTTCCTTCTCCCAGGCTTGTTTTGTGTCACTCCCCCATATTTGATTATACAGAGGGAAAACACTGAGAACTGTAGCTGAAATTTTAGAAGCCTTGCCGTGAATCATATTTTATTCGTTTGAAAATTTTCTTATGTAATATAATTATAAGGGAAATATACATACTACCGATTTAAACATAAAATGTTATTAAATTTATTAAATTATTATTAAATTCCGGTTCTTCGAAGTTATGTTGTGAAGCTTGATAAAAAAAACCTTACAAAAATAAAATACTCGAACGTAAGACGAAGATTTAGTTTTGGAAGCTAATTAGTCAACTTATGGAACTTGAAACAAGAGCCTTTTATTTCTTTAATAATATTTTCCATTATTTGATCAAAAACAGAACAATACCTTTGATTGCTTCCAAATAGTTATATATGCAAAAGACCCCGAACCGATAATTTGAAATTGGTAATCCTCTTTTTTTCAAGTGCTGGTTTGTTTGTCGAAGGCGCTGCGACTGTTGCTGCGCTTCTAACGGCACAATCACCCAGGAACACCCCACCAGCACCACCAAGTCTGCACCTGTCGTCCTCGTTGGCAGTGGCTTCCTTTTCACCACCTCACCGCCCCACTCCACCCAACACCACCCGTCACCGCTCCCCAACATTTGGCTTTGTTATTTATGGCATTGTTGTTGCCACGTGATGCTGTTGCTGTCGCTTTCCGTTGTCGATGTCCCCAGTTGATGCGTGGTGCGTTTTTTCCTCACCCACTGCTGTTGACTTTTCACGCCCCTTAAAGGGGAGAGAAAGGCACCAGTTTGTGTTTTTAATTTGACAAACATCTCGCGATTCCATTACTTCTGTCACCAGCAGACGAAGGAGATTTTAGCTCACATTATGGTAACGGGGAAAAAGCGTATATTTCTTTACTTGTTACTACCATTTCTCTTTGAAAGGTATGGGAAAAATAATATATAACACTAATAAACTAAAAATAAAATAATTCAAAAGTTAAACAAATTTCAATAAACATTTTCTTAAGATAGCTCTTTAAGCTCAGCTCAGAAATAAAAATATTGACAAATCTTTATAGCAATCTTTAATCTAAAATCAATCGGGCGATATTGAGATAAAAGCTTTTAAAAGTATAGAATTAGGAAATAATAATAATGAAAATAAAGTCGCTTATCTATTAGTCCCTTTGTATTGATATTATATTGTATCAGTTAAATGGTAAGTCGTATAATCTTCTGTCTTTTAATGATTTACTTGCTTTATTTTGGCTAATTAAATTAGCTCCAAATGGTATTGCCTACTTTTGCGGAGAATAATTTTGGACTTAAACAAAAGCCATTTTCATCGATTAAATGAACGTGTCATGCCATATTGTTTGCTCATTTGTCAAACAACGTGTCGACAGGCAGAGGTAATTGCCAACACTTTTGCTTTAGTGCTGACCAAAAACGAAAGTGAAAGGCTGCATTGCCTGCATTTGCCGATGATGATGCGTTTAAAAAT